TTGCTTATAATTGCTAGTTATTTACTATGTTACAACTACTTACGAGAACAATAGGATGTGTTTTGAAGATAAATGTATAAATATATAGAATACAATAAGTGGCCTTTCTTAATAATCAACTTTGTTTTCTCAAGCAGGTTACTTTTAATCTCAATAGTCTGAGCCCAACCATTCAAATAAATCAAAATATCTAGAGCAAACTTGTTAATGTTGTTAGCTAAACATCTGTAGGTTAACATGATTTTGTAAGGGCTACATTATTAAAATAAACAAAGCCAAATTTTCCCAAATCTTGGCCTGGCATTATGTCAGGTTATTTATTTGGGTAGTCAACAAGTAAATAGTTGTAACTTTTCACTACACAACATAGGTTTCATAACTTTTTTTAAATTTTAATTAAGTTGACAAGTTGAACAGTGTTCACTGTTTCTGCTGTTTGATGTGGTTTCAGTTCTGAACATGAGATTAAAGCGCTCTTTGTCCATGCTCTATAATCAGTGGCTCAGGTGCCATCCATCCATGGCTGACTCACCAGATGTCATGCTCCATGTAAACCTACCCAAGCCCTTCAGTCCCATTTTACTGTCGAGTCACAAAGGTACATGAAGTCGTGTTTCCACACCATAGATTTACAGTCCTTTAAAGTGACAGGTGCCATTCTACCAAAAATTAGAAGACACCACTGCCTTTACTGTGCTCGAATGAAAGCATGTTTTAGTGCTTATTCGTGAGTAAAAGCAGTCATTATGTAACAATTTTGACATTTAAAGAACAATAAACTCCAGTGACTCATGACCCCTGGATCTGCCAAACAATGACATTATAAAAACTCTTTCACTAACTGTCCAAAATTGTCTGTTTGTAATAAAAAACTGGGAACCAACGGACATGTGTCTATGTGCACTGCCAGGAATTCTGACAATGGGTAACACACTTGAGAACAGAAATATATTTCTACATAGTCTGCACAGTTTACTTTTTGATGCCAGACTGATACCTACTACCAGCAATGTCTCAAGGCAATATTTTATAGGCTGTTTCATATTTGCTATTAATGTAACTGGAAAGAAAGTTTAAATTATGTTTTTAGGGTTTTTTGCACTTTCACTAAAATGTTGTGATTTGAACTAATTGACTGGGTTATTTAAAATTTTCCTTATTTCAACTTGACTTGTGAATGTAAAACCTTTGTTTGACTGGAGTGTTTTTTTTAAACAACCATTACCTCTCTGTGTACATCTTGGCAGTCAACTTTTACCTGCACAGTGGAGAGATGTATTAACAAACCATAATCCAAATAAAATTTCACAAAAGAAATCTTCCTTTCCTTTGAACAGCCATTTACTGCCCAGCTACCTAAGAGGTAAGACAAATCACTTTGAGTTCTATGGCAAAAAGAGGAGTCCAATTTCCTGGGAAAAGACATACAGTAAGTAAAGTAAAGTAGTGTGTGTGTGTGTGTGTATTTGAAGGCTCACACACTGGCCCACCAAACCATGCCAAAAAGACAAAAAAGTTGTAACAAGGGTGATTCTTGGAGAATAGTGGCTCAGGTTCATTTTTTTAATTCAAGGAAAGAGGAGAGAGGAGGACAAAAAGGGATACACCAGCTCCAAACTCCACTCTCTGAAGATGAAAGAAAAGACTAGACTACTGTGTCACAAAAGCCCGTCGACTACAAATCATTCCAAACATTTGTTTATTTTGGTCTTGTGTTCCACTCCTCCACACCCAGTCTCGTCCATAAAACGCCATATATGAGTTTACACCCCTGTGTACAATTACTGTAGATGATCCCCCAGGCTGGCGTACTGCCAAATTTATGAGTGAAAGCATCTGATTCTCTGGTCTACACAGAAATGTTGATGTTGAAGAAAATTAAATATAATAATGGACTGTTTCTCTTGCAAGGCAACGTTTGTTTTTAGGGGCTGCACTGATGATTGGATAGATAAGGGAAACCACATCTGTGGTCTGAATGCCCAAGTGGAAAAAGAGCACACTATGTCCTATTAAGATCTCATCACATACTGTACAGTGCAGACTACTTTGTTTTTCAAAGGTGGGGATCTCACAATGTCAGATGTCTTTCTGTGTACTGTAAGCACACACAAGCACTGAAGCACATGTGAGGTTGTCATTGATTTTTCAAGGACACTGCCATTTTGCCATTAGACAAATCCAAAGTGTGGTTGTCTACTGCATGTCTTTGTGTGCCACAATTAAAATCCAAGGTTAAGTCATGATGCTACTGTGTACATACTGTATGTTGTCTATTACCCGTAGGTATAGGTTTGACCTCATTTTATTTCCCCAGCGGCTGCTACTGTATAATACACCTGACATATCTGCACTTTTCCAATGACAGGCAGACAACAATGTCTTATCATACAAACAATATGCTCGCTACACCATCAACAACTAATAAGAAATGTTTCCATCTCAAACATCCTCTAGCTTTTGCTTTCATGATCACTTCTCAGGTGTCTCTGGTGAAGAGATAATACGAACACTCCATCGCATGAAAAGCTTCCCTACGTATTATTCTACCAAACAGTAATGGATTTGATTATAACATTGATATCAGGTTAATTGAAATATCTTCGTATTTTAGAGATGTGGAAATTAAATCTATTTCAACATAAGTGACTCTTTAGTTTACTAAATGAGAAACAGTACAGACCTGTTCAACACCTAGATGCTGGAGGAGGAAATTTAAGAGACCAAAGTTCTGGCAGCCCACTGAGTTCACAGCTGACATAAGATTACAGTCATAACTGAAAGAAGGCTGCTGCAGACTTTTTTATCTAAATTCCAGCTTGAAACCAAAATGCCAAAAGCCCTGCTCCCCTAGGAGTCAGAGCAGCAGGAGGAAATGGGGGAGTGCCTCGAATGTCTCAACCAGAGGAACTCAGGATTACTCATTGGAATCAGGTGTTCCAATGATAACAGAGGAAGTGGGGATGGTCCATGAAGTGGACATATTGACGTAACCGCATCTTGATCTTGATAACAAAAGGTTTCCTTACTTCAGCATCCATATTTTGACCATATTTTAATTACATACCAAACATAATGAAAGTTCAACAGGAAAATGACTTTAGGCAATCAATCAGCAAGTCTTTGAACGATCTGAAGAGTTTATGGTTCCAAACATTAGTTCCAGGACATCTCAAACAGCAAATGATGTAGTTTTTTCCAATTCACTAACCAATTTTGAGGCAAATAACTAAAAGAAATAAATCCTCAACAGCATTCATACTGACTGTAGAGCATTACTGGAGCAGTGAGAAATCCTGTTCCTTGCATCCCTCCAGCTCCTACCCATCCACACGAACAGCTCTGCTTTGCTCTGCTCTTCTCAGTACCTTTGCCCATGGCAAATTATTACCTATTCAAGAGTGCAGCCAATTGCTGTATTCTTTATACACTGTTGGTTGCCTTTATATGGACAATGATGAACATATTTCTGACTGTAAACACTTACAGAGAGGTTTCTATTTTAAGGGATACTTTTTTGCATCTTGTGCAATGTGCACAACTGTATCTTTAAAATATTGTCTCAAGCTGGAGCACAACAGAGGCTTATTTCTTTATATGTGCATGGTGGACATCTGTGTGCTTCAGCTTGGCAGTGGCATAGTTATGCTGATTACTATACCATGTAGATGTATGCATTTTCTCTGTTTAGTCTTAGTAAGTATTAGTCTTGAGGTCCTTGTAAGCACTAAAATGCTGCATTTCGGTTAATGCACAAAAATATTTCTGAAATTGTAAAAATCACACACAGCCTAAGAAAAACGCACACGTGTTTTAGCGACTGAACAAAGACATAGTTATAATTGCACAATAAGAGCAACAAATGAATGATTTGGCTTTGGACTTGGATTGAGAAGAATTATTCACAGGTCCCTTTCCATAAATAAGATTCATTGAGACACTGATAAATGCATATTTCATATTATCACCATTTTTTCACATCAGGGCACTTTCTGAATTAATCAATACTAGTCTTGGTGGCGATTAGAGTGCTGATGGATCAGAGCCAGGTTGCCCTTTTAATGGTGGGGTTTTCCATCAACATGACTTCAGATCATGAATGATCACAAAGGACATGGGTATATGGACACCTTGGTTTCACTGCAGCATCATTAGTGTGAAGGATTGGGAATATGGCCTGTCACTCCAGCACACATTCAGTCATCTGATGAAGAGAATTCATATTCACAAGGTCTCACTTTCATTAGTACAGGGCTTGACCACACTAAAAGAAAGCGACATAAGCGACCTTGGAATAATATATAGTCTGAAAGTCTTTTCTGTGTTTCAGGGACACCTGCATACACACACACTTACTCAGTTACAAAAGATAAACAACAAAAACCATAGGGAACGCTGATAATGTCTATCAGAAAACCACCACTGTGATATATGACATTGATAGATTTTCTACTTTTGCCTACAGACATGTCTTTCACTCTATGTTTGTTCATACGTGGATGAAATACAGGAATATACAAGCCAGATGCTTGACTGTCTACTGACTACACTCTGTTACCCAACAATGCAATGAAATCAAGGACATTTTGTTGCAAGATGGCCACATTTCAAAACCAAACAAAACATTAAACCCTGCAAAAGCCAATGTGCATTATTAAAACATCACATTCCACCATATCTTTAACTTAAACTTTAAAATGGGTGCTGTACCACGTTACAAAAGCCTAAACGGGATATTTGAAAATGAGAGAACACTGCCATCTAGGGGGCGGCTCAATGACCCATCCGTTCTCTGCAGCCAAATGAAAATATGAAATACCATCTATTGGAATGGGAACAATTTCTTTTGAAGAGGTCTCTCCATATATATTTGGCATTTCTATTATGTTTTCTTTTTACTTTGTGTTGTGTATTCATTCATGCTGACAGTAGCATTTAAAACTAAACCTACGCTTTAGATAAATCAATGTTCATAACTGTGTAACAGGTAGAGTGGTCACCTTTGGTTGAACATCCCTCTAAAGTTGTAGTTGGCTCTATAGTTGGGCATGGGCTTAGGATCCAAAGGCCTGTATATAGCTGGTTCTCCTCTCTTCATGGCAAGTCCATTGAGCTCCACTGTGGGTGTTATGCTGCCTGTATGAAAAGGTAAAAAATATTAAAAGTGTGCCTAGTGGCTATTCTTACCATGCATTAAAAGCTTTTTTACAAGACCTGGGTTACTGTTGACGTCCACTTTAGGAGAGCGAGGGGCTGGCCGAGGAAGGACACTCTCAGTCAGTGCTTTGGCGGCTGTAGAGTGCTGAGCCTTTTTGATGCTGGTACCCTCAGCCTCCCACACTTGCTCCCCAAGAGTCAGCTGCACAGTGAAGATCTGGAACATTGATAAGTACACGGTTCTTTTAGTCCGACTTGCTATGCAATCTAAATAAAGCTAAGCAGAGACAAATTTAAGCTTCTATATTTTAACTTCAGAAAATGCCAACATTAAACAAGGGTAGTGCTGTACACCATCATTTCATAATAAAGACAACTTGAAACATTTTACAAACAGTGTGTATGAATATGTAAACCACAGTAGACTACAGGGAGTCGTGCCATTTTTATTGATCAGATCAATTTTTATATTTTCTACTATACTATATTTTCTACGATCAGATCAATTTTTATATTTTCTACTCTGTTTTTTTTCCACAAAAATCAATGTGTTAAACACAGGGGCAGCTATGTGTGGCAGAATAACAAGGTGTGTATATGCATAGCACAGAGCCTAATTCAGTAAAAAAACCTTTACTAAGATTTTCACTAAGAAACATTTCTTCCACACTTTATTGAGGTACAGAATCAAAATTACTCACCTTGGCATGTGCAGGGCCTCTCTCATTAAGGAGCTTGTACTGTGGTTGGGTTCTATTAAAACGGGCTAACTCATTCACCAAACACATCGGAGTTTTCTCTTTAGGGTTTGCCATGTTCTCCTGGGGTGGACCTGCAAGAGAGCAAAGCAGAATATGTGGTATAATAATCTATGTTACAAACCAGCAGTACAGTACAGTATGGATTTCATCAAACAAAAGATGTATATATAGCATGTCAAGTAACCTTACACTGGATAATTTGCATCAATATGTCAAATATTAGTGTATTGGTCTATTTAAAGATCAATTTCTTTATTTCATTTTAAGTCTCTGTTATGGCTGAAACACAATAGGGCTTCATTTTATTTTTATTAGGACAATTTCACCTTGATTTAAAAAAGTATTTGTTCATATGTGACATGTGCAAAGTAAAAGGTTAATAAAAAGTAAGTAGTGCATTATTTAGCAAAAAATTACTAAGCCAAAAACAAAGAAATAGCCCGATATAACGATATCTGAGAGACAGACACTTCAGTTGTCTACTTACCTGGCGATGTAGAGGACACAGGGGCGTCCCCATATCCGGCTGCAGGAGCAGGGCAGGCGGGTGTGGGGGCCGTGCCTGTGCCATTGACGGAGGGCTGCAGACCCAGGGATCCTGTGCTGGCCATGGCCATCGGGGGAACTCCAGTGGAGAGGCCAGGACCAGCCAGGGATGCTGAGGTCTGCACTTTCACTTGAGCCATGCTCTATACCTGAAACAATCAAAAAGCAATTAACAAAGCAATGCTTTAAACGTGCTGATAATAAGTTGACTCCTGGTGAGACACCGTTTACTGGAAATGTTTGGATTTATATAAATGAAGTTGAATATAAAATAAGACGGTGTTTATTAAGAATACATTTTGTACACAAAAATATGTATGGGCAGACAACATATTCAGTTCAAAACAATACAATCAATCAAGTTGTCTGCTGACATTTCGATAAATATCTGTGGGCAAAACCTCAAGAACTGTGCAGCACTGGGCTATCTCACATTCTGATCCACTGTACCCAGACAATGGAGCTTTATTTGAAGGAGCTTTGCTCATGTTACTTCTGCAAAGCTCCCCCCCAAAAAGGGAAATTCTATGAGAGCACTCCAAACAAGATAATGGAAATACAATCTCTTTGTATTTGGGACTACAAAGAACTACGTGAAGTAGACACCCACTACTGAAACACCCAAGAGGGCAAATATTTAATAAAAGTCACCAAAACACACATTCACTTCCTTATTTTTGTATGCATGCAATATTTTTGTGAATGCAATTGAAGAGCATGCACACCCTTTGGCTATCCAGTTTGAGCAAACAATCTGTTATCATGTGCATTTCATTTATGCACAACATTGACATTAAGTACTAATCAAAAAAGAACACAGAGTTCGGCTGCATCTTTCATAGATGGAACGAGTTCTGGTTCGCATTAATGTGGGTCAAGCACCAAAGGGAAGGAGAGTGCAAATAGTCACACAAAAGAGAAGTAAGGAGAAAATTACGAGTTTGACACTTGTCGAACCTTACAAATTAGTAGCTTTCTTACTGCCTCGTGTAAGTGTAATACTATTCGACACCTCATACAGGCATAAAAATCTATACATTAAATAGTAAATGTTTTTTAAAAATATTATTGTGTAAATGCAGATGTGAAAGAAGTTACAAATGACTGGTCAGATACCTCACAGTTTGAAAGTGTGTTTTAATATGAAATGCATTTTATTGTGGCACATTATAACACAATCAAATACATAAAGTGATTTCCATGCTTTCTTGAGACCACACATCCATGGAGTTTGGGGATTACAGTCCTTCCCCAAATTTCTAACTGCACAGTTGTCTTGTGCTGACATTGCATTCATTGTAAAAGTTGTGTGACGTTTTTGACAAAGCCATAATACTGTGTGCAACCCCCGAACCCTACAGTTCGGTTCCTACTGTGTCCAGCTTAGCCAGAAGCTAACGTAACCGTTAACGCTAAAACGGTATTTACTACTAATGTCAACCCTTCAAACACACGCAGGCAGACAAAACAAACATGAATACTGCCACAATAATGCAACAGCAATTTCCCCGCATGAAAACACGTTACATATCCACCCCCATTAACGCTACTTTAGCCGGTTAAAGCTCAATCATGGCTGATCGGCCGAACAGCCCTCTTGTTAGCATCTCTCTCAGCGACCCATCCTCCACTAAAGTGAGAGCGCTGATACTCCACAGGACGTGTTACGTGCACTGTTGACATGTTGACAAACATTCACGGAACTGTCTGACAACACAGGTACAAATATCACAGCTTATTTTGTTACCTTTGTCCAGGGCCAGACCCCAGTTACACCTCCAACATTGGCAAACACTAAAGAGAACTGGATAGAGGAGGGAACGAACCAACCTAATATGTCTGGGGGGACTAAGGAAACCTGTTCCACTAGAAATATTGCATTTGTCAAACAGATTAAATGCAAATGTTGTTAGCCTATGGTTTCTTGATAAACAAAGGTTATTTATTTGTACACAGTTGTTCTGTGAAGGTTAGGTTTTGGTTTAGTTTTAAAATAATCATCACCCCTGCGTCAACATAAATGGTTCATTCCTAGTGCACATCCTTGGAGAGCTTAACTTTGATTCAGTCAAAAAGTATTTTTTCAATGTTTAAAATAAATGGGGAATACTTTTGTTTTGCACAGTTAAGTAAAAATAAAATTTCACCTGGAGGACCTAAAAAGTTGTTCCAGATTGTTCCAGATGTATTAAGCTAAAATATATAGAATACAGTATATATTCATAAATAAATTAAATGCACCTACCTATATTCCATAGACAGGAAAATAATTTAAGAAATGGAAAAATAAAATAACTTTCATTCGTGCAACTGAAAAAAATTGGATATTTACATTCGTGAAAGTATGACTATGGCGGACCAACAGGTGGCGACATTAGACCAAGGAAGGAAGGAAACCTGCAGCCCGTGCTTTTTAATTGTTCAATAAAGCAATTAAAAACTTACACACATAATCCCCAAATCATAAAGGTAAAATGAGCATTTACGACTGACACGTTTTAAGTTCAATACATTTTGGAAGGTATCCTGAAGGGTTCTAACCAATTTAGGTGTGTTGAACAAACATCTGACCAAGTCTCAATAAAAGTGAATATTTGCTTTATTATTGATTATGAAAATGAACAGGCACCTTTTACATGGAGCTTGCACATCCCAGAACAAAATTTCAAACATAAATAACACACCATCTTTAGTGTTGATCACTCAAAACAACCTGCAAGCTAAGAGTTCAAACCACATTGAAAAGAAAAAAAAAAACCAAACAATTAAATTAAATTAAATAAATGTCACTACCAAATTCTTGTAACATATTCACTTGCTCGTAATATTGTTACGACTGTTCTACTGTCAACTTGGTAAAGGCTTTCTGTTTCCACGTGAATGCTGTTTAGTGTGACAACTTTTACAGCCGTGACAACAGACTACAGTTAAAATTCAAACAAAGTCATTCAAAAAGAAAACAAGTGGATAAATAGTATTTACGAATATAGATTTGAGATAGCAGTGTGCTGTGGTGAGCTCCTCCTCAGAAGAGAATCATCACATTCGCTCAAGTTGTTTAAAAAAACAAAACAAAAACAAAACTCAACTAGACCCTGGAAAAAAGAGCAAAAGCAACACAAACAACCCAGGATGGAAAATTCAAGTATATCAGACTGGATGGTAACCTACATCTCTACAGGAATGGAATAGTTACAGTTTCACATGAAAGACTCCATGAGGTTTGGAACATCCATCCCATAAAAACTTTTGTAACTATGGAAAGACTAAAAGTTGTCACAATGTCCGATGCTAATAAGAAAAAAGTAGGGTTTAAAAGTGCATGCACCCCCACTGGAAAACTAACAACCCAACAATGGTGTTTGTTGCCCCACTGTACATGTCCTAACGAGCAAAAGATGCAAACTTATGATCAATAAAATAAAGCACTCCTATTATCACTCTGCTATAAACGCGGCATCTGCTAATGTCTTTCATCCAACAGTTCGATGACATATATACAACAACTCCAGACATGTTATAATTTTACAACATAACAGTCTTTTTTTTTGGTGAAAATATAGTTAAATTCAAAATATGTAATAGGTGTCTTCTTTTTTTTTTTTTAGAGGTGATCTCTTTATTGAAAAAAGTACCTGAGCCAAAACTCTGACCGGGGGGCTAGGAGGAGGTGTCACAAAAGCCTCTTTTTACAACTCTACTTTACATCATTCATTCATTAAAACTTCTGGAGATGAAAACAAGAAATAAATTATGTAAATAAAATAGAATAAAGAAAAAAAACCTTTAATAACATCCCTATTGTAGTATCACCTAGTTGAAAAGAACAGTACAAAAAAGGTTTTTCAACATTTTTGGAAGATTAAAGCACAAGTTTAAAAAAACGGAAAAAAATTAATCTAACAGATAAAGTGTGACACTGGTCTCTTATAGACATTCTTTGAGTGGAAGGAGAGGCCACTGCACCAGTGAACACTACACAAGTGCAGGATAATTTTATGAGGAGATACACCTTCTCTCTGGTACCAAGGTTCTGTCCCACAGCAGGAAGAAGTGCAATCAGGTCTCAAAATGGAAGATGAAAAAGAACCGTATGTGTACTGCTGATACAGTGGTTACAAAGTAAAAAAAAAAAAAAAAAAAAAAAAGGTTCACACCTGGAAAACACACGGAGGATGACTAACAGCAGTACAACTGCATGGTGAGAATAATGCACTAACAGTGCCTTTACATACTATATTCTTTCACAGTGCATGATATATTTAAAAAAACAAAAAACAAACAAACAGATGCAGCCTTTTCTTGGGTTTACGATGGTCAGCTCCCTTTCCAGAAAAACATTTAGATTTGGATTTCTCTTTGCCGGCCCAAGTTTGCATCCATCAGTTATTATTGCACAACACAAGGACCATAAAATGCACTCAAAAAGAAAGAAGAAAAAAAAATCTTAAAATAGGAATTATAATTTACTTACTAAAAATCCACCTTGCTCGTTGCTTGTTTTCCTCCTTGTTGCATTATTAACCGCTTTGCCAGAAAGCAATCCTCTTCAGGTGCATCTTTAACATTTGATTATTTAGATTTCTCTTATTTTACAGCCGACTAAAACATGCATCTATCTCCTCACCAGGGGTGAACCGCAGTCAAGAGTCCCCGGCACATGGTGTCCACTGTTCCAGTCAAAAGGTCAGAGTTCAAAGACTGAATAATTAAAAAGTGCTTTAACGTAGGTCAGTAGGACTTCTATCTTCCATGAATATTACAAAGTTTGTACATTAGCATGTATCATCTGGGAAGAGGAAAAAAAAAAAATTTTAAAGATATTGTAGTTAGACAAATAGCAGATCTAGTTCAGAAATAAACAGACATTTTTGTTGATTTGTTCTTATTAATCATCATTAAATACAATCACAATTAATATAATTTATCCTAATCTAGATAGACTGAACTGAACTGTTCAAATGAAAAAACGCACCATGATACCACCATTTTGTCTTCTTTGGGTTTTTGTTACACGTTCTTACATAGAATGAATTATCAGGTGGTCGTCTCTGCAGGAGAAAAAATGAGTAATCAGTGTCTACGTTACTCTGCGTCACAGACATACATTTCTGCACGGCTCTTACAGCTCTGTTAAAATGCAGAAGTTACCTTTTCTTTGCAGCTGGACAACATACTAATAATGCTAAGACAAACTGATTGCACTGAGAGGGCTGGCGACCAATCCTCCGTTAGAATTGATAGACAGATGTGACCGTTGCTATACACATGTGGATGGACAGGTATATTCTCCCCTGTGAACATTACCTGCAGCAGGGAAACACAACAGAGTTTATTTAGGGAAAAATCACTAAAGATATAAAAATATGTATCAGAGAAACATTTTTATCTTTAACATATAACTGAGACATTTCAGTGTCTGCTTTAGGAAGAGGTTTGCACTCTAGTGTCAACAGTGGAAAACAATAACACTTGCTGTATAAGCTTAGGCTAAACCCTCTTTAACAACATGAGGTTTGAGGATTAGGACAGAGGGGCCAGGCCTGGGTGAGCAGGAGGGAGAGCAAGAGACTGGGAAGGGACACATGACGCTTCATAAAAGACTTAAGTGGAAATAAGCTAACAAAATGTTGCAGGACTTACAGTCCAAAACTGAAGCGTTGAGTGTTGTGGGAGGAGGAGATAAAGTTTGTAATGGGGAAGGAGAGAGAGGGTGGAATGGAAAAAAGGATTTATCATGGACAATGAGTACAGGCAGTCTGGCACCAGGCATGGCCTTGTGTGGCGACAAAGGCTGGAAGGGCGGGTGACAGCAGGGAGAGCGGTTGACAGCAGGAGAGTGACAGATAAGAGCTCAGGTAAAGGATGAACGCTGTTTGCGCAGTTTTTTTTTTTTCAGCTTTAACCACCACTAAATACAACATGGTTCACATCACTGTGTCCAAAACTTCTTCTGCAGAACCCCCCGATTTGCAAATGGAACAGCCATTTTCACAAATCAAAGTGAATATATTTTTTTTAAATTTATTTTTAAACACTTGGTCCTAGTCAGAATATCATGACAGAAATTCAAACTTTTATTAAATTAAAAGATGTATTTTTATCTTAAATTAATAAGCAACTCAACTGCAGGTTAATGATCCTGGACATGGTTGTTGCAGTAACTGTGTCATCTGCTGACAAGCACGGGAATGTAATTATTAATCACAAAAACAGTTCCTGTGTTGAAGTTTGTTCAAAATTAACACAACAGATCTTCTGTTTTGTTTATTTTTTTCCTACAGATGTGGGTAATGAACGGAAGTCAAACCAGGAACTATTTTGACCAAACGTACTTGAATGGAGGATTTTTTTAAGCTGTGCTCTAATTTTATCAACTGCACCCTATTCTCTATTTTTAGAAAGTGAATATCTCAGTGAGTAAAACAAGATCATGGAGTCAAGGTTAATCCTTTCAAAAACACCTTCAGTGAAGGCTCTGTACTTAGGCTTGTCAGTGACTCCTAGTTCCAGTGTTTCTGAGACAAAGATAGTGTGTAAATATCTGATAAATTGGTGAGCCTTTTTTTTCTTCATAATCCTGGAAATCTTTTTACAAAATCCCAGAAAGATGCATAACAATGACAAAAGCTTCACACTTTTTATATGCTATATAATATATAGATTTTATAAATGAAATATTATGTTGAGTTCATTGTAAATACGTGTCCAGTTATTATACTGACTCCTGTAGTAAACCCCGTGTTTTCAAAATATATACATTTTTTGGAATACTGTATCCCACAATTGATTGAGGCCAAAGTAGAAGTGTGTCATCAAATGCTGAATTTTGGAAGAAAAGACGAGAGATGAAAGTTAACGTAACTTTGAGTCCTTCAAAACAAGATGGTAGATTGTTTTTAAAAAGAGACTAAAGAACATTGAGTAGATTCCAAGGGCTTACCTGAGGAGAATCAAAGGGATATCGACTACTAAATTTAAATAGCAATTGAAATTTCTCTCCTTCGTACAGTGTACCAGGTGCACCCTCCATATCTACAATCCACCTGAAGAAAAAACAGAATACATCAATGTTAAACTTTATTTGCACTGGAATTATCTGCATTTGATAATTTAATTTAGTGTACGAAGTAAAACATGAAATAAATATGCATATTAACTCTAATGTGCAGAGAAATTAAATTCCATCATGTTATCTAAAGCTAACAAAACACAGCCTTTCAACAGCTTTTAAGTCTGATTCACTCCAGACATTTAATATTCTGTTATATGATGACACATAGATTAGTAATAATGTTAGACTCTATTGATTCCACGGCTGTAAACCCATTCTGGCCTTTGAATCCTTGCTTCAGAAATATGCGGACAGAGCCATAAATGGTTCTCCGTCTTGCTCAGGATTTCAGATATTTAACAAGACAGAGCTTCAGTTTAGACAAACTGTGCCCACAGCTCGGTGGTTAACAGTAGTCCTGATATTCTAGTGAAGCATATATGGTGGGCTGCTAGGTCACAGCAACCTCAGAGGAGAAGAATAAGAACCAGCGATGGCAGCATTGCAATCTCTGACCTATTTTCCTTTGGCCAAGTGATGCAGATACAACACTAAAGAGAACTGTGGCTGTTGTTTAGGTTTAAAGCTTGTTTCTCTTTCACATATTGCCAAAGGCAAAAGAACATTTAGGTCAACAACCATGGATAAAAAATATCAACAATTAAAGTTCATTGTGGTGTTGTTTTATTGTTATAATCCATCCCTCTCCAGGAAGTGAAGCCTGGAAGGAAGCAGTATCACTGTATATGATGGAGAGTTACACCTGATGCAACCTACACCAAACACAGAAAAGGACTTAGAGGACACTCGGGACAACTTGTTCAAATTCCCCACAGCCTGATGACTATATGTTCTAGACAACAAAAATAACACAGAGATTTTTTGTGTTTAAGAAAATAGGGGAAAGAACAATAAGGTCAAGGTTTTTGTTCAACATACACACACAAAAATACCATAATAAAATGATAAAGCACATAGAGATAGAGATTTCAGTATCAAGCAAAAGTTAAACAACTAAAACGCAAAGTCACCTTATCACTGGAACACACAGCTTTGTCATCACTGCGGCTTTTGGACAGTTTGGATAAGGTAAGCTTGAATGTCAGCTGCAACAGACTTTTTGTATCTTATTACACCGGGCCTATTAAAAAAAAAACCCTAACAATTCCTCATTTGTGTCAATCACAATAACAGAACAACCAAACCCAGCTCGAGTCTTGAGTCTGAATCTGTGTTGTGATGAAAAGACACACCCATACATACCATAATAAAGCTAGGGATGCAGAAGGCTGCAGAACTGGTTGGACAGAGTGTCTTTTAAACAACAACATTCATTCAGACTGACAATTTCATGGAGTTTAATATGCACAGTGGTTCTTGGTGTCTTAAGATTTACTTAAGAGTTACTGAACTTTGAGTGCCTTATAATTTTTTTTTTTTTAATGAAGGATGAAACTAGAAGCATATTTTTGCCTAAACAATACCAATTCTTAAAGAAAGTTAATAAATGTTAACACTTAAGAAATAGTTAAGACTTTACTCACAAAACAAAAGTGTGAATAAGCATTAAAAGGACCAATCAGATAGACAGGTCAGCAGAGCGGTTTCTTTTGCTCACTTCACTAACTGAGCTCTGTCATGCCAACTGTTAAATATTTTACGAGGGCGAATAGTGACACTGTGCATTAGAGTTACTCTCCCGATGGGCCAGAGCTGCCAGTCACTTAAATGACCTGGATTTCTCTTCCAGCCCCGACTGAAGCTACAGGACCTCTGTGTCATAATAAACCCCCATCCCTGGTGATAGTTTTTTTTTTTTTTTTTAGAGTTTGCTCACCAGACTGTTACACCGTGGTGATGAAACACACAGGCAACATGGGATTTATGTTTATTCACATGTGTAAAAAATTTGGCTATCAAACAAACAAACAAAATAAATAAAAAACATGCCATAAACACTTACTGTGTGATGGTGTTCTGTACACTTTTTTCATTGAGCGTCATTCCCGGGGGCGGATCATTTTGCAGGGCTAATAATTCCTTTTGTAGCCTTTTCTGTGAAAGACATCTTTATGTTAAGAAAAAACTATTTATATATTCAAAGTAAAGGTATATGTACATAACCAACTAAATTAGGAACCTTCCAAAACATGACATGTGTGCCCTTTTCAGTCTTTTCTTGGCTCAGCCTACACTACAGATTGTGGAGCAAGGAATAGTTTGTTTAACAACTGATAGAAAATTTGTCACCACACACCTGTTTTTGCACTACCAATGATTTGGGAGAATCACTAGGCAACAGGTTACATTTCAATAGCATTTCACAAGGTGTACCCACTTAATAAGAGTGGTATTTTTTAGCAAATGTTGAGTAGAAATGTCTTCCTTTGAACCAAGTTGATTAGGAAATTACTTTCAATACATAGCCTGACACTGTTTATGGACAAATTCCTGCATTCTATAGGATTTGAACAAAGATATAGGCTATAAAAACCTTAATTACGTAAAATCATCATATGGAATATTCTGGCTACGTACTACACCAGAAACTAAAGAAAAACAAACCTGATTATGTACAATATTGTGTTCAACTTAATATGACAACTTATCAGAATTAAACCTAATGTGTGTTTTTTAATGGAGTAGTGCAGTGTAGTGTAGTGTAAAGTGTATCGAAATTATGTTTAAAACAGACCGTGTTCATTGCTGTGTTGGTTCTTCAGAACGGCAGGTCTGGCCAGATGAAAACGATGCACCTGTTCAGCTCAAACTGCAACTGATCAATCTGCGCACTATCTTCGTTAGCAGGCTAACCTTAACGTTAGCTTAAAATAAGCCAAAAACGCCCTACTAATGTCAACTAAACGTATGACAAATCACGTTTATGCTGCTGTGAATATAAGAGTACAATACACAGCTGACTCGAGTCTGGCGTTTTTCTCCAGGAAGCTGCCTTCAGTGTTACCCTTGACTTGCTTCTTCTGCTGCTGCTGCTGCTGATGATGATGATGATGATGGGGTTAGTTGTGTTGCTAGCACTTAGCCTAGCGTTAAGCCTGATCAGTTCAACACGTCACAGCGTTTATAGCTACGAAACTGTACCACGGATACGCGAACGAAGCGGTTAAGCTTCTCCCGGAAATGCCAGCAGTGTAGGTGAGGTAATCTGTCCGTATGTGTTCACTGTCAGTTGTATTCTTACCTGCATCGACGCCATGTTGGAAACCCCCCCTGCATCAGAGCAGAGCGGAGGAGTGACTGTACGTCAGCGAGCCACGTGACACGAGTCAAGTTGTTTTTTACACAGGAAAAACCAGTTAAGTGCACCATCAAAGGCAGGAACCACACTCAGTATTTAGGTGATAATAATTACTTATTACTGCCAAGTTAAAACGTTTAAAATTAAAGTCAAACATTGACAATAAGAGTTTAACTGAGGCAGGGGCGTTCAAACTTTTTAAGGTGGTCGGATGGTAGGGTGGTTATTAAAATCTCCCGTAATGATATGGACTGTTACCAAGCAATTAAGCACACAAATACATAGCATTATAAATTCATATAATTTGGCCCTACGTTTTCTTTTATTTCTGTGTGATGTGTGGGTTTTATCCAGGTTTTTCCCACAGTCCCTAACATACATACAGTACTAGGGATTAGGTTAAACAGATTAGATTAAGTTGACACAGTGTGAGTATGAACAATCGTTTGTATCTATATGTGGTCCCATGATTTATTGGGTGAGTGTCCAGTGTGTATTCACCCAACCCTATGACTTCTGGGATTGGCTCCAGAATGACAAGTAAAATCACTACTGTCATGTTTTGTGTGTACAATTGTGTGTACAATTGATGGTGCACGCTGGATAGAATGCCTGGTGGAAGCCATCTTCGTGACAGCCAAAAAACAAGAAGTGTGGATTTCAGAAGCTATTTGGTTTGCAAATATGTAGAGTAAGTCTACGTTGGCTACAATACTTTTTTCCTCAATTTTTTTTTCAGTAAGAAATATTTGCCAGGCAAATATTTGCTCTTAACGGAAATTCCAAGTCTGTGCTACTGATAAAGAATTGTAATAGTTTGCCAGTAAAAACAAAAAGTAGGAGAATAATAAGTTGTCAGCCACACAAAACTTCAGTCCTCATACCATCTGTGAACAATGGGATGGATTTTTGATTAATTAACACATTGGCACAGATAAAGCCCAGTATAAATCTAGTTTCATGTAAATTATACAGTTGTCTTGGCAAATGTGGTTATCTGTTAACCTTACCCACATTTTTGACATTACAAAAAACAGGGCTTACAATCAAAGCTCCACTTATATTTAATACTTAAAATATACATATACCACATGCAAAATAAGACACCTGAACAACTGATTCTTGTATTTTCACTGTTTAAACAACATTATGTTTAGCCAAACTTCAACATAATAAGATTTGGGAAAAAACAGAATAAAATGTAATGCAGCTTTTATTTTATAAAGATATAACTCCAATCAAAACTGCTAGGTTCACCTTAACATTTTTTATTATTGTATCATTCATCTTTTGAATTGATAACAAGTCTTAGAACTTTTTGACCAATGTATGTATGTTACATTTATTTTGTTTTTTTTCTGCAGAACTTTGCTACATTTCTATCTCTGACAAATGTTTTTTGTGACCATAACCTCTCAAAGAAAAATAAATCACAAATGCTCTTATTGTTAAATGACTTTGTTTATAAGGCAACATAACATTCATTTTGTAACAGCCTCAAACAGGACTTGTTTTCCAATGGCCATCCTGGCCGCAGGAACATTAAAAGCAGCTCACTGTCATACATAGCAATGGAGGATTTTAACTCAAGCTAAACCAAACCACACAATTTAAGTGGAATACATACTTGGTGTAAAAGTGTTTTTCAAAGTCGAACATACTCCGTTGGAAACAAGCTGTCAAGTGCAAACAAAGTGATCACCAAATAGGTTTTTATTCAAATGGAGATGAACAAAGATTTCTGGGACAGAGGAACAAATGTAACACATTCTTGGAAGGGGATGCAGCCTTTCATATCCTTTTATATTTTCTCAATGCAAACAGGTCATTCTAACAAATCCAGAGAGAAAGCTAGGTGCCAAAGGATGTTATATGGCTATATTATTTGTGTTTCATATCGTGTACATGGCAACAAAAAAGTTAAATATTAAAAAAATCAAAACAAACATGAGAAAAGGTTCTACATTACGTTTCTGCAACTTTAACAATCCAAAAAGTTTGCAGCCATGAGCAGTTCCAGTGCAATCTCAGGAGCAATGGGGAATTCTGGGATTTCTGTGGAGCTGTTGGTGTAACGGACCTTGTAGGTGAAGTACATGCAAACCTTGGACAAAACATGAGAGGGAATCTCCCTGAAGTTCACTTCATTGGTTTCATTTTCAGCAAACTGACCTGAGAAAAGAAAATGTTATAATAATTCTCATGAGTGGTAATAAGAGAACATTATCTGGAGACTTGTGTTATTCATGAAATACACACTCAAAGTCCTTAAAAAAGTAAATTATACTGATGTTTTCAGGTCAAGTGCTATGTGATACATTCATCACTTGATGGTAAAGCGTAATTAAAGCATTATCGGTATAATGTTAAAAAAAGAACAGTGCCACCAAGTGGATAAGCAAGAGTACCATTAAAACTTTAAACCATTAAAGAATAATAAAAGAACATGGCGCTAAATTATATACGCTTAACACCTTGTAGTACTTGTATAGTTAAATGTTAGTGACCTTTCCTCATGATCATATTGAATTACTTTTTGTAATTTCAAGAATACGTTTCTATTTCTTTTGCCTTAATTTATTTATCTTGCTCTTTTAATCTACCTCCCTTGGTGTCAAAAATAAATGTGACACATTAAATCTATTTGTGTAGGTAAAGTGCATGTTTTTATCACTGCTTTACAAAAACACTTTCTGACCTGGCCCACTCAGCATGGCTTTGATGGTCCCAGATGTCAAAGCGTGTTCTCTTTTCACTATGAACTCATGTCCATCTGAAGAGATCAGCTTCACATACATGGCATCAGGCCCTTCGCAGCCTCCATAGGTTCTTTCTTCACCATCTGTGAGACAACAGAAACTGACAATCTTAAACAGGTGTGAGCCAGACAGCTCAGTGACATGAACATTTCTGAACTGCATTAGTAGTGATTACAATAAAACTGGCATTCAGCCACATGTCATTTTATGACATGGGTCATAAAAACGCACCAAAGTTTGACAAACTACTGTAACTATAAAAAAAAATTACATAAAAAAACTTACCCATCTTATGGCCAAGTTTTCTACCAAGCCTACAAAAGAACATAGAACAAATATCAATCTAAGCATGTAACACATTAGCCTTGTGATAGTTTAAATACTGTTGTAGCTTCAAATAAACAGGTCTAATTTCATGTAAACACTTGCCATTGGCCTTAGATTTTCCAATTATTTTAAGAGGCTTCCCGTATTACACTAACATTATGATTTGTCAAGATAGTATGGAGTTAAATGTTGTACGTTGCATCTATTGTTAATAATTAATAACACATGTCATTCTATATTTATCGGATTTAACTATATCTCGTGTTTTAGGTAAAATCGCAATGAGCGTTAGCTTGTGTCGGATAGCAGGCTAACATCGCCCTTAAAACATTAACAACTTGTCGTTTCTCTTCTTCAAACCTTGCGTTGGATAAGAATCAGACAGTCACTGGCATAAAATAACACACTATAAAACGAACACAGATTCTTACCACTTTATCGAAGAATGTGGAGTAGGGATTGCGTTTCAGCTATTGTTAGCCGACAGCCTGCCGGAACCAGGTGTAGTGTGCCTTCTAGTGACCCAGTAACTAGTTTATAAGCGCGTTCACGGATGCCAGAGCCGAGACACTGTTGTTCGTCGTCTTATCTGGCGACTACATCCTTGGTTGTCTGTAGACTTTAACTTAGATGTCGTTTCAGTCCGTCTTATTTCATAGTATGTTATTTATTCCCCACCCGCGTTTATTATAATTATACATTCACTAATTTAAAGCAGTGCTACCTTGACTTTGATCTAAAACGAGTCACATCTGCTTTTATCTGAAAGATAGCAGTATTTATTTTAAGTAAAAAGAAATACATGTAAAATAAATTTAGTGAAACAAAAGTCGCTGTTCGTTGCCTTCAACACGCGTGAACGCGCAAAATGTCGTATCGTATGGAAACCAGATGACACATAACACCAGAACCAAGTCGTGCATTTTCTTCTCTGGTGTGTCTCGTGTCTATGTATTTGCACTTACTGCCATCTCCTGGTACATTTAATCTCTTCATGTTCCTTACCCTCAGATTTTACAATGTGTTTTATTAATGATAAATGGATCAAATGCTTTCCTTTCACAGCTTTTGAAAACACCTTTGTTTATTATTGTTTGTTAACTTGTGTTGTGTTCTAATTTCTCTATCTATTATTTAAGCGCACATTCAAGGTCTCTGACTTTTCATTTCATATTATACAGAGACACACATTAAGTCATATTATTCAGAAAAGTGTTATTTAAGTCACACAAGGAAAAAGTTGTTTGAGCCCCTTGCATTGGAAAAAATACAATAGTAGCACAAACACATACAGCAAATAAATAAATAAATAAATAACTTTATATACTAAACACCTACAAACTACGACGGAAAGAATTAATATATATATCTTTTTATCTTCACCTGAAGATCTTTTTCTTCAATCCTCTAGAGGGCGCCTGTGTTTTGGGTTAACGTTAATAACTGTCTCAACTGTCTGTGATGGGTGAGAGCAGGTGCTGATTGGCCATGACACAGACATTTTACAGTCATAAATCTGGATTTAAAAAAGAATGAGGTAGGAGAGAAGACATGATCTCTAAAGGCACTAATAATTCCCAAACACCAATCAGGAAAAGGAATATAGCACATTGTGTATTATAAGAAATATACAGGTATGAAAAACCATTGGCCTCCGAATACTGTGAACAACTTATGTAGTAATAAATAAATAAATGTGGTTTTAAAGTATCTTCTAACAGTAAGAGGGGTGTTTATCACAAATGAGAGACAGCTGAGAAATGGCCACACACAGGTCACAGTCAGGTTCAGAGTTCTTTCTTGTTGGAAAAGTGATGACTGTTGAAATCCGAGGCAACCAAATTGACGCAGAGATATCTGAGCCGCAGCCACTAGGAGCACATTACTGAGCGTGCCTGTAAATTGTGCCGTTTGAGCCACAGCATCTTTGTAGGAGGTTGGTAACGCGTACTAATTGGAAATAGTGAGGATATATTTTTGAAATGTATTCACTTACTAACTCCTACGCTTACTCTTTTGTGTACTGACAAACGTTCGGCATCCAAACTACAACGCCATTTTCCTGGAATGCCCAGCGTGACAGAACTTCTGTTGAAGTGACATTTGACCTGGTATTTTTCTTACAGTAATACCAGGTTTAGCAATGCTGTCAGTTTGTGTTCCAGAAAGTTCCTGTAGCCTCCTGCCTTGTGACTGTGTGTCTGGCCTGTCAACTCTCTCTCTCTCTCTCTCTCTCTTTCTCTCTCTCTGTCCCCCTCTCTCGCCCCCCCACACCTCCCAACACACATACATATGCACACAAAGCAATCACTGACCTTCCAGTCCCCCATTACAACATTAGTGCTCATGATCAGAGCGGGAGGGTGGCGGCTGCAGCTTTGATGTCTCTGATAGGACCCATACTCACTGCAGCTGCTCTCAGCTCTATTTTGGGTAGTGGGCTGTGGTGGGCCCTTAGAACTAGGCTCCTGCCTAACACACACGTACACATACAAATCACAGAAACGCACAAAAAGTGCAAACACTCTTGTCATGCTGAATGATATCATCCATTGTTGTAAACTCATAATTTATTATCTCTTTAGCTTCTCTCTGTCTTCATTACGGGGACATACAAAAGTCGTGCAGAACATTGGAGAATGCCGACTTCTCAGAAAAAGCCTCAAGTTTTCATTTTTTTTGTAGCCTTGTAACACAAGAAGATTTCTAACTTTATGAACTGGATGTTATTTCTGAGCTTTGTTATAGAAACGCCGTGGCATCGAATGTGACCTGTGTGACCTTTAGGGTGGAAGACAAATTCTCGCCCACTGATCCTTGTCCATCACTCAAAAAATATTTTAAACAAATTAGGAAATTGATACACGGTACAAAATATTTTTGCTTGCTTATAAATGAACACAACAAACTAAGACTGTACGTTTCTTGATATTTTCTTGTTTTTTTCATTCTTGTTCTTTCTCTGCTTGCATCCTGGCCTATAATTTTTTTCTCTTCTATCACACTAACCTACTTCTTGCCCTTCTTCACTACAGTGAGTTTCTCCCCCTTCTCTTCCCTTCTGGTAGCTTAATCACTAACATCCCCAAAACAGAACTGAGACCAGTTTCCTGTATTTACCTGAATAATGTGTCCCCTGGTTTCCCAGGTAGTTGAGTATAAATAATAAACCCATTCATGAAAGTTGGATATGGTGCAGTCCGTTAACAACTATACAGTACATGTGAGAAGAAGGACAAATACAGTACATGACTAAACACCAGTTTAGTTGTCAAATTGTCAAATGTCAAATGTTATGACCAAGACTCATTAATCGGTTTCTCGGAAAAGCCCTGGGTGAAACTAGTCATGATGAACAAGGATGGGGGAGGGAGGTCTTTGGGCATCTCAGAAACCTAGGTAAGGCCTGTCACAATGACTTAAAGGATGTTGACATTTTTGCCTGCAGGAGGTGTCCTGCATTTCTGACGTTAGCACTGTCATTTCTAAACCCCTGCTGGGGACTAACAGTACTAACCCATTGCAGAAGCAGTTTTGGCAAAAGGTAAATAGTGAATAAAAACAATTTATATGAATTGTATATTAAAAGAATAGCATTACTAAGATAAACAGTACCATGATTCTAACATGAATTTAACATGAGGGGGATAGAGTCCCACAGGGATGACTCTTAGGCCCCTTTGGTTTTCACATTGTGTCACATGTTGATCATGTTTAACCACTTCAGATGGCTGTGTGATACATTCCAATGCTGATGACATAATGCATTTTCTCCTCAGTATGCATTCCACTGTGTAAAAAAATTGTATTTAATTCATTTTTTTATTCTGTAAAAATCAAAACACTGCATGTAGTCATCGTATAATAATCAAAAAGACTATTTGTTTTGATAAACATCTTTACAGGTAGAGAAACTTGGCATTTGGTGTCAAATGAGTCATTGAGAAATAGCAGCTGAGCCTTGTTTATTTTGTTAAAGGTTTTTGGAAAATGACTGCTGTGGAAGTAGTAACACAATAGGACGTGAGTCACTGAAGTGTCCTATTATTACTATTGTTCTGATCCAGTCATTAACAGCACAGCCTGAAATACCATTATGAGTCAAATCTATACATTTGAACTGCATAGAAATAGTACTTTCCTGGCAACATAATATAACGTACATGTTTATTATGTTCTCGTTTTTTATTGCTTTAATAGTGGGAAACTACAGTGTGTTGATTTGAATGCACTCACGGCACACATGATGTTGACATAGAGTGGAGTCAACAACAGTTTGCTCTTAACAGCTCCATTATGCTTAATTATGATGACTAACTGGACAGAGTGTGAAAATAACATGCTTTCATAATCCACATGTCACTGCATAAGCAGGACACCAACAGTTAGGCGCTTAAAAGTGCGCCAGCCATTTGTGTTTATTACTGTATTTAGTCATCCACATGCCAGGGTCCTAATAAATAAATAAAGGAATGACTGATAGAGACATTAACGTATGACGGAAATAGGGAAATGCTGCGTTTAAAATAACAGGTTACGGATAATAGTTTAGTTCAGATGACAGAGGCTTTACGACTTTATAAAATTTGTTTGTGTAAATATAACGGATGCAGTGATGCTAAGCTAAGATAGCTATGCGAGGCATGGAAAGGGGATCTGCCTAAGACTGATGTCTTAGCAACAGTTTTGAAAAACGCTGGCCATGGATATCCCCTCACTGCTTACTTGTCTTTATCCAATTTTAGAAGCACGGCCAGGCTGCATTTGAGGCCTGCACTGAGGTTAAGATTAAAACAAACAAACAAACAAACAAACAAACAAATGTTTTCTTTTTCAGCACTCTCTGGTCACACTCTGGTGACCTTACTGATTAAAATGAATATAACCTCATTTACTACAAGTAAATGAGGTTATAAATATAGCAAACATGATACAATATAGCATAAGTGTACATACAGTTTAATGCTCCTCCTATAATCTAAAATTATATAAGGACATACTTTGTGACTGAAAATGTATAAAGGTATACTTACTTTACATGTATTATAAATAAATGTAAATTGTGGCCTAAATATTTAAATTTCAAAATAACGGTGGAATTGCTTGATTTGGTTTTAATCAGGCATGTCAAAGGGCAGCGTAATTTCCCATTTTCTGAATTTCTTTTGATAACCAGTGTTAAGGTACACTTACCTTGTTATCCAAAAGTTCTGTTCCATAAAGAATCTTTAACATTTCAATTTTTATCTTAACTCTCATTGTTAGCTACAGAAACCTGAAAGACAAAAGTTGGTTTATTACAAAATAATTTAATTTTTTAATAATTAATATTTAAAGTGTTAATTAAAGTAACATTTAAACAGTTGCCAGGATTCATTTTTATTTTTTACATAATAAAGAGAAAATAAATGCTATTTATTCCACAATGATCACATTTAAGAGTGATTTTAGCCTTGAATTTTCTAACTAGTCTGGAAGAAGGTTTGGATCCACTTACAAGGTTTGGGTTTATATTTGTCCTGAGCTGCTTGTGCAACTGAATCTTGTCCAGCAGGCAATATCAGAATAGTAACACAGATATTCTATACTATTACTGACAAGTTCGGCTTCACTTAAGAGGTTTAAGGTGCCAGGATTACACACTATCCAGAATATTCCTTTTCAACTCCATATTGGCCCTGGATAATTTTAAAACTGCAAGGGACACATATCAAATGTCTTTCATATGTTTTTGTGATAAACAAATGTATATGTGAAGAAAGCCCTCCTGGTTTTAGCATCATCTCTGCTTACACATATTTGACCATAGAGTGGAGTGAGATACCATGACTTCCTGCACGTTCACAGAGCAGAGGCTACAACAAGTGCATGACATGGCATAGCTGATGGCTGGCAGGTGCCACTGTTGTTGTAACTCGACACTAATCCACGGCTGATCAGCAGTGGAAACAGTACAAACTGACCCAAGACAAACTGAGCCACCTGACTGTGCCTGTGCTGCTAATGTGAGACCCCGATGAAGCTCCTTTGATTTCGTGCCCGATGAAGGTCACGATGAGGCCATGATATGAGACTGGAAATAAGAGCATTCTTCAGGCAAGTGGAATCCGATCATCTGCTGGTTCATTCTAGAGTTCTATATGGATGTGAAGAAAAAAAAAAAACAACAGAAATGAAGCAGACTTCTTTTAACAAGGCATAACATCTTTATTGTTATACACATGACTTCTCCAAAGACTTTGCACAAATCAGTGGGGCAACATAAACCTTTTAATATCAAATATCTCCCACAGTTCCTCCTCATAACCTCAAATTCTCACAGGTACATCTGCCTTTCCATATTCCCCCCGAATGGTACATCGAGTACAACCAACCAGAAATGAAGATATATATATTTTTTCTATTTTCCACTGTCAGACATCATCATATGTGCATTACGTTACCAATTACAAACATAGTTATATTCAGTGTCAAAATACAGGTGTGCAAATTGTTAGAAAAATACCAACTCATACCAGATTCTGGATTGTGCTCTGTAAAAATCCTTACAAATAGTATATAATAATCTATATATAAATATCTCTCACATGCAATGTTGCATTTCAGAAAGAAAAAAAAAATCTAATTACTAGCTTTTTTCACTGAAACCCTCCGAGACTCTAATCCTCACGATGCATGTGTGAGGACAGGGACAACAAAGAAAAAGAGGGCAACAAAGGGCAAATCATTTAATGTTGCTCAGTTATTACATTGGTCTTCATTAGCTGAACGCATTTGAGTAGTCTGTTTTACAAATCATGTCAGCAGTTTTCACACATCTAGTAACCTGGAGCAATTCTCAAATGTGCTACTCTGTAACAAAAAACTTTGTGAAAACACTCTAACAAAAAAAAAAAAAAAAATTGTAGCCATATTAAAGCCCTTCCACGTGACGATTAGTATTCAAAAACAAATTTTCTTCAAGAAGAATAAATAATAAATATCTGCAGTAAGGACAGAAGAGGCCAACCATATACATAACCACGTTTTAAATCAAAGAAATTCATGCCATACCTGCAACAAGGACTGCAAACATCTACAGTGAAGCAAGTTTAAAGCATGACGGCGGTGATGACAACAGTCGGTGTCCCCCTGCACGACAAAGTTAAGACAAGGACGGCATCCCTTTCCCCTCCCTCATTTCCTCATCTTTTTCTGAGGTAAACAGTACTACTGTTAAAGACTTTTTTTTTCTAAAAAAGGCATCGTTCCTTCTCCTGGCTCCATCTCCCGTGGCCTCGACCTGCATGAAGTCAACTTCAACCATCTACAAAAACTGTCATCATTCAGTCTCACGAGCACAAACTGTGAGCACTGCCCGACCCACAGAAACAAATGCGTTGCGTGAAATGAATCTTAGCATCTTAAAAGTGTATTAAAACAATAGAGCAAAACAACAAAATGAAGGAATTCAAACAAGACAATGGTCTTAGCGTGACATAATTATATTTCCGATCAAATAAATAACTATAAGACATTTTCTACTTCAATCTGAACCTTCTCTCCAAACACGATGCCAGCTGGTTAAAAACCTTCGCTCAATCAGGCATATTCAAATTGTGAGAGTTTGACTAAATAAAGTGGAACACAGGATTTGTCACTGTATAAAATTACAACCTCATTTTGACAAAAATAGAATAGCTTTTTCTGTGAAAAATAAAACATATTGCACATACAGGAACACATATGAGTGGTGTCACATTACAACTGTTGTTAGAAATGAGAAAAATTTGAAAAAAAAAAGGAAAAAATAATTTCCTTGTCTCATACCAAGATGAGATTTTTTTTTTTCTTCTTCACTACAAGCGTGCGACTGCAGGAAACCGACATTCAGGGAACGGCAGTGAACAGGAAGCTACAGTAGAACAGAAAATAAAAGCAAAGGTCAAAAGTGTACCATGCACGGGGAGTGCTTTCAAAGCAGTGTACCTTGTGTAACAATGGGCGGAGCTGGGGTAAGCTGCGGTTAATAGCTGGGTTAACCGAGTAAGACTGGCTAGTGACCGTGCTAGCACTGACTGCCGGCAACGGCCGTGCCCAGTTTCTCATCGCAAGAGTGGTGTGAAGCCCCGAAAATGCTCCAAACACCAGAGCACGTTCCCGCTGCGAATGTCCTCATTGCCTCCGAGGTCGCCAGGCTCACATCTCCCCATCAAAACGTCAGATGGCAAAATAGGAAGGCAGCTGTTTGCTCCCGTCATCTAAAAGTGCATCTCCACACTCTTCTCCTGCAGCAAAGTCCGTCAGCCTGCTGCTGTCTCTGCCAAGACAGTGGGCTCCAGAGACCAGCGCTTGGATCAGCACACGAGTGGGTTTCAATTACTTCTTTTTTCACACCGTGTATGTTTGGTTGCATTTTTTAAAACTTTTATTTTTATTTTCTTTAATCTTACTTGACACAACGTTTCACCTCTCTGTTAAGAGAAGCCAAAAGAGTGCTAATTCACGCGGACTGGCCCTAAAGCAGGCCCATGACAGGTTGGTGATGCCTTCCTCCTGATTCTCTTCGGTGCCTCGCTGATTCCCAAACACCTACGGCCACCCCCGTGTTTCACTGGCGCCATTTTCATTTTCCAAGGCCGGTGATGCAACTGTGCCTGTTGCCATGGCTTTACTGCAACATAAAAGATAATTTCGGGTTTGCCTGGCTCTTTATCATGTTTCAGAAACACAGGCCGGCATGTACAAAAAAACCCACGTTAACATGTGATGCTTTATTTCAACTCAAAGTGATTCAATTTTTATATCTATAATGCTCTCAAGAGGAACTTACCAGAGAAACAATGTCATCATGTCAGAAAATGGACAAATATAATGGCAAGACCAATATTCAACAGCATTACCATAGCAACAAGGATCGAATTAGGACCCTGTGAAAAAAAAGAGAAAAATATGAGTAAGTCATTATTAATTGTTATTAAAAACAGCTTGAAAAACAACAACTTGTGTAATAAAAAGGTGGTTTATAGATAATTCAAAAGACGAATAAAATTCTCTTGTCCTTTTTTTTTTTTGCATTTTTGTGTTTTCTGTTTCAGAAATTCTTTATCAAAACTGGAATTTTTGGGCAAATTTGTCCCTAGTCTTTTGCTAGCTTACAACTTTATTAGCTAATTTATTACCTTTATGGTATGGCTCTCCTTGCTTGTGAGTTTGAGTTTGATGTATTTTTGATGTATTGATGTATTTTAATTAGTTACTTTTACTACTACCTACTTTTAACCAGGTTTGCTTAAGAAAACACTTAAAACACTTATACACTTTTGAAGTAAATAAATACACAGTAGTGCACTTGGAAATCCGTCCTCTGCCCTAACTCACCCGTTCCTCTCCATTTTCTGCTAGCTCCATACTGGCTTTCTTTGTGTCTGCAAGGCTCTTTGGCTTTAGGGAATCCTGTTTCCTGAGTTTGGGCTCGCTCTTGCTTTCCCTTATAGATGGTGGCTTTGGAGTGGGGGTGCTAAATGACCTAGGGGGTTGTGGGGGCATTCGTGCCAAGGCCTGGGCACTAGGTTCTTCCTCTGGATCTTCCTCAGGGTCTGGAGGTGGAGGCAACTTTGCAGGTGTCTTGACATAGTAGCTGTGGTACTCTGAGTGGAGCTCACCATTGACTGGTATCAATGGAGGCTTTGGAGGAGCAGCAGATGATTGCTGGCCCTTGGCAGGTTTAGGTGGCGCTTCGGGAACACTCTTGGGGCCTTCTGTGATGGACAGCCTCTCCTCTTTGCTCACTTTTCTGCTAGACCGCTCATCTTTGCCTGTCTTCTGACTCGATTTCTCCTCTTTACTTATCTTGCGGTAAGGTTTCTCCTCTTTGCTGGTTTTGCGACTTGTACTGTTGGCAAGCTGACCTTTCTTTTTGCTAGACTGGGGTGAGGGAGGAGGTGTGACCCCATGACCGGTCCCAGGCGAGTGGGGAGGAGTTGTACCTTTGCGGTAAAAGTGAGGAGAATCTCTTGGGGAGCTGTCCTTCTTCTCAACAGGGACTTCCTTGATCTCCACAGGCTCCTTTGACTGTTGTTTAATGTAGTCAGGTCCTGCAGAGGTCACAGAGGTCACACACATTAATGGACTCAATAATAATAATAATAATAATAATAATCACCCTAAGCAGCTGTCAGGCATACTACATTTTGATTTTTTTAATAGTAACAACAAAGATACAGCTTTTTGGATAGCAACGATTGTATCTTCATCATTTCTTTATAAAATTAGCCTACAATACTCAATACTAGGGATACACTGATAATGATACTACTATCAGTAAGCGGATTGATACTGATAGAGGTCTTCCATTTCATTGGATAATTTTAGAAGTTAAAAGTATTTGTACTGGTAATCAGTATATGCAAATACATGAAATATTTTGACATATTTTGTTGATTTTTTTGTCACTGCCAACAGACATTCACCAATATTTAAATGCATCATTCCCTGTGAGGATCAGGACTGTTTCAGTGTAGTTCCATGTTCCAGAAACCCTTGAATAACACTTCCCTGAAATGTCTTATTCAACGTCTGCAGAAACGTCCATTTAGCGGAGCCAGATTTAAACTCAATCTTGCTCCGAGCGTAGTTACTTTTAAATGAAATATTCATGAATCAACATTATATATGCAATTACTCCACAGAGGCATGGAACAGAAGCAAGACAGAGAGTATTAATGCAGAGTCACAAACACAATTTCACAACAGGAAGCCTCTTCTGCAGGCCCATCACACCACACCATGGAGGAGATAAAAGCGCACCAAAGGAGTGTGGAGCCTTTAAAAAGGAATCTGGGTAAAGCTCAAACCGCTGGACCCTCCTTCTCTTTAAGACGTTTGACTACTGGGTTCTGCTTCTGTCAGCGCTTATTCATTTGCAAACGAAATACTCTGAATGAGACTGGCTGTTGGTCTGTGAGAAACAAATGGATCCTGTGCTGCTTGTTTTCTTTTTTTTCTTTTACAGCAAAACAGTGATGAGTCAAATGACTCAGTGGTTGAAGGATCAGACTTGTGATTAGAGGATTGTCGGTTTGAATCCTAGCCACTGTCCTCGTTTAACGAACATTCTTTCTTTTTCTCCTTCTTTCCACCCTGAGAGAAATAAGTAATTTCAATCAGCTTTATTATGGAATTCACACACTGTTACGCATAGTTCTTTTCAGCTGTATGACATTCCCTATTTGTTTCCTACCGGCCATGACTAATAAGACCCACCACAAAAAGATGTTTTTGCATCACATTGGCTTGACGTATCTGCCAGGCTTCATTTCACATTATAACTAAGTAAGAGTTGAAGAGGAGTTCATGGGTGAACCCATGAGAGAGATTCTTGGAAAAACTTCCAGGCATTTTCTGCTTAGTGCAGTTAAGAGAGGACAAACTGTAAAACTCAATTATATGAAATCTTCGATGGTTATTTTCTAGACATTAGAGCGTGCACTTGGATTCTTTTGAGGAGCTAGTGATTTATTAGACACACTACCAAGGAATCCTGTAAGGTCAGCCGGAGCATGTACTGGTACTGAATTACCCAAATGGCTGTGGTGTTTCTTTCATCTAAACATTGAGTGTGCAGCTTCCCAAAGAGGGTCACTAAAATGGGCCACGGATTAGTTGTGACAGAAAGACAGGAATACGCTGCAAAACCCCCAATAAGCACGGACGAAATGCTGAAATTGGGATTTCAGCATTTAATTTGAATTTTGTTTTGTTGTTATATTCAAACAGTAACATGTTCATTGTTAGTAAAAAAAAAAAAAAGCACAGCTGTAGTTTAACTGTATCGTGAAGAATGTTTTTTCAGAACAGTGATTTTCTGCTTCACTGCACATGTGGTGCACTCAGCCACTCACTAACACACACACACACAGATTAACTGTTATAGTCCCAGCCCAACCCCAACTGACCTTAATAAAAGATAAACACCCGAGACACGTGGAGAGCGGTCATTGAAAGCGTGTGTTTGTTTTAAGAGAAAAGTACAGTACGTGCGGCCATCCCATCTGTTGCCCCCCCCCCCCCCCCCCCCACCCGCGCACAGCTAGCTCTCTCTAC